CACTTGGACAGAAGAAAATTGTGCGCGACGAAGAACCTCTTCATCCTTATTCACACGATACTCTAATATCCACATTTTCTTTGTAATACATTTTGAAATGAAAAATCTTCTCGCGAATCCATAATTGCAACGGAAATTGAAAGAAATGATTAAATTGGTTGAAAGCATATAGAGCTGTAGAATCTAAGTGATGTTCAAATCCTTCTAGGGTAGAATTATTACTTCAACTGCAAAGTATATTTCTGATATACGTAATATTATGTACCTATTTTTCTTGGGTCTTCGTGTACTCCAATACCCACTTCCATAAATTAATCCTACCAACCCCATACGTGAATTAACGTGTATACATATCATCAGAAGATTCAGTTAGTCCTGTCGGTCAACATCAAACCTTGTAGCACATGCTCAATAATTCTCGGTCGGTTTCTGTAACTCGATATGCAAGTTCGAGTCTCGTGATACACGACTTTTTGAAATAATGTATATTTTGCGCGTCGCGATAAATCCTTCCGCTACCACCGGCAACTGCGCAATATGTTCCCGCGGAAACTTTGTACGAAGAGGATCGTCCCGGAGCGGAGCGACCGTTCAACATAGTCGATTGATATGGCTTCTAGGTTCGATTGAACCTATCCGACAAGATTAACAAGAACGAATTTGTACTAATTTACGAATGGAAACGTTGCCGCCAATACAAGAGGCCGCGGATCACGCTTTCGTTTCACGACGTACGCGTCCGGGCCCTAAATAATCGTCCGATCTTGCCTGTCCGGCTAGCCAATGCACAGCGCCGCTCCCGTCTCTTTCGTACATTGTTTCGTTGCGGTCCTTCCCTTTCATTCAGTAATTCGCAGGGCAGCTGCACACTAATAATAGTATCGGACACTGCCACCACTGGTTGCCGTCTCTGCTTTCGCCACGTCTGTACGGTATATAATATATTAGCCGTCAATATCGTCGTTTCCGACGATAAGCTACCTTGCCTCTCGGCTCTTGGTCTTTCCAAGTAGTCACGTTTGTCTTGCGTTTATTCGTGCTTTTTGGAAACAGTCGAAAGACACAAAACGAAGACTGTTGGCGATCCCCAGAAAGTCGAACAGTTATTGCGGGTGTACGGTTTCTATAGTTGCGACCGATTGTTTTTCAATTTTTTGTTTGCAGTCATATTTAAAAGGATTCAGTGCTAGCGTGATAGGAGATGGAGCAAGGCGGGATCACCTATTAGACGATACACGGACCCCTTGATATTTTCGTAATCCTAGGATCTGTTTATTATCATCGCTATTCCTCTTAGAAAAAAATGGAATGATCAAATGGAAAATTTTACTGATACCGACGCGTCGTCGACGACGTAAGTAGGTTGCATCGCGAATCGAAGCTGCTTGTCTACTTTGAACGTATTACATACCTCACGGGCGGTGAAAAGTCAAGGGAACCGACGAAGATAACCGCACGCGCTACGGAACGTTATCTCGTTTCCCCTTCGACTTCGAGGTAATTATACGAATCGTGTTTTGTTGCGGAGACTTTTAAAACTCCGAAATCAAGGCGCGCAGAATCTGTTCGTCGGAACGAAAACTATAATTACAACGGAAATGCATTGTATACGTCCATTTAAAGGGCTACATACACGTCCGATGCTCCGAAAAATACACTCAGCTTTGTGTCGTCTTCTTGGTGAAAGTTAAATCTTAATGAAAACTAAACTTTTAAGCATTCAACAGAATGTACAGTTAACCGTCCTATAAATTTGATTAGGAGATGAACAATATCAATGATTCGAAAGATACGCTGATTTTTTTCATCCGCCTTGAGCAGGGTCGAATTAAGTCATTTAGAGGCCCTAAGCACTTGAAAGACTTTGATGCCCCCATATACATACAGTGGCTTCTAAAAGTATTCGTCCAAACTGTAATTCCATCATATCTTTGTCATTCACTTTTGTCAGGCCCGTATTTGTTAGGAACAGAACAGATTATTTTTATGCAAGAAAATTTTTTAATTCACCAAATTTGAAGGAGCAATGTTTATGGGTATATCAAGAGTTTATTCGTATTATATATTTTTAAAAAGATCCGTTGAAGTTAGTCCATGGTGAATCTAGCAATGGAATATTATTGCGGTGCCCCCCTTCCCTTGACGGCCTAAACACGTGTGTATTTTGCTTAATGAAGAATCCAGCCCTGGCTTTGGGAATTTATCATTCTTTTTTTTCATTTTTGGGAAACGATACGTGTAGCCCTTAAATAGTAAGTCGGTTGAGTATGTTCGTCGAGTGCTACGTGCACGTGAAGAGAAAACCATAGAGAACGAATACAGTATCGGTGCGACACGCATCCTTCCTTTCGGTAGATAAATTAGCCGCGGGGCAATCACGTCCGTGAGCCAATGAGCCGAAAAGATACCGGGTTTCCGGTGAACGAATGCGTCACGATAAGAAGCTCCGCGGCGGTGGTCCATAAGCCGTTATTACTGAAAACAACAACGCACGGACCGTTGTTCCATCATCGGCTACTCCCCTTTGTACCGGGGACATGTGCGGCGGTGGGCAAGGAATCGATAGTATGGGGCTCCCGGTTGGCCAGCTACGCTCCTGACCTTGATTGCGACCGACGCACACACGCCACGAGATGCGCGACGCAGGTAGGGGGATGTGGCGACGAGACGGGCAGACGAATATATAGTACGGCACGAATCGCTCGAGGATAACATCGCGTATATCCCAGGGAAGGCTAGCAGAGAGACCTGTGCCGCGCCGAGAGGAAGAGGAGGAAATGTAGACTGGACCAAGAGTGGGAGAGAAAGGGGGTAAGTTGGATGTTGCTAGAAGGAAGGGGGTGGATAGGGAGAGGAAGGGAGGGAGGGGGGTTCCAGCGTGTCCGTCATAACGTATAGAGGGGAGAATAGGAGAACGGTTGGAACGGTTACGGGGAGAAGTACAGAGTGGAGGGACGTGGCAGAGGGAACCGGTGGTGGGGGCGGTCGAACAAGGCAAGGGAGACGAAGGGAGAGAGAGGAAGCATGGGGGCGGTGGCTGCTCCGCTACGGCCGCCATCACCATCCGTCCCATCCTATAGTAAACTCCGAAGCAGCAGTCCCCAATCTGTCTCCATGTGTGTTAGTTAGGACCGTGTTTTACCGGTGCTTGCTACTCCAAGCTGGTAGTAACACCGACATTTCTGCCTTGCCCGCTCTCTGCGATGCCCTAGCATCGACTCTCCCGACACCGTCACACTTCCCTCGTTCCTTTCTTCTCTCCGTCTTTTTCCCCGCTATTCTTTCCCTCTGGTCTCTTGTCTCCTTAAGTGTGTTTTGCTTCTGTGCGTGGCGTGAACGCGTGTGTACCGCGAATGAAAAGAATCGGTAGAGAAGAAGGAGAAGGCGGCGGCGGCGGAGGTGGAGGCGGAGGAGGTGACGGCAAAAGAAAAGGAGCAGCGTATCGCTTTCTGCACGGCCCGTTTCCAAGGATATAACCGGTGGACAACCCGTCTCTTCCTCTCTATTTTTCGACATTCCCTGGCTTTTTGATCCTCCGATACCAAACGAGAGTGTATAGTGTGATTAATTGAGAAAAGTCGCCAGTGCAACGCATCGTATACCTACATAATTCGTTCCTCCGGTGGATACACGCACGCTTTTAATCAGAAGCGATCCTTGAACACCCCGAGCGAGAAGACGCACACGGAAAATATCATCCTCGCGGGGAATCATCGGAAAGGGCTTTGTGCGTGTGTGTGTGTGTGTATGTGTGTGTGTGTGTGTGTATGGACGCGAATCGAGACGCCTTTCAGAAGAAATGACGCGGAATTGAACGAACCGGGTACATGCTGGCCGTATCTTGGGGATGTAATAAAAGAAAAGAAGGGTTTACCCGTTTCGTTCGAAGAATCCTCGAGGTCCTTGAAATTCACACGATCTTCAGTTCAGCATACCAGCAACGGACGTCGAAGATCTAACGAGCCTGAGATCCGTCCCACCCAAACGGTCCTCTCGAATCATCGTCGTGGAGTCGTCACTTATCGGGACGAGGGGAACGAAGGAACGGACGAACTATCCGTGGACCTCAGCGCTGCCGCCCGCTGGAATTTCTCCTGTCGTCGTCTACACATAACCTCTCTCTATCCCTCGGTCTCTCGGTCGCTCTGTCTCCGCCACCTCTCACCTCTCTGTCCCTGTTATCATTCCGTCTTTCCTACTCTCCTCTCTCTCTCACTCTCCCCCATCGGCCGCCGACACTTGGCTCGCTCGTCTATTTCGCATCGAAGAAGAAACGTGATCAACATTCCCGTGTTTCGTTGAACTCGACGTGCGCGCGAGTGACACGGTCGCTTTTAATGTTCGCCGCCGCGGCTTAGTGCCTCGTTCACCGGCGCGTGGATATCCGCAGCAAAGAGTCGATCCATTGGTGATCAAGATATTCTACGCCAACGGCGATCACTCGTTCGATCACGGTTACACGAAGTTCGATCGTTGTTGTTCCTCATCGTCGTGTCATGCAAGTAACGAAAAGGGAAGAACGATGGCAATGATAACCAGTCGCCGCACAGTGGAACGTCATCGAACCTGACGAGATCACGGTCGGTCATTCGAAAAAAAAAAATAACACGGGGACGCGTTGTGCTGGCCATTTTCTCTCTCTCTCTCTCTCTCTCTCTCTCTCTCTTTGTCGGCCAATTAAACCTTTACGGTCACCGATCGAACGTCGAGACAACCCCAGTATTTTTCATATCTCGATGCTCCCCGACGCGGGAACGGTCGGTTATCGTTACTTCGTACTGACGACGTGTTTATTGAACGATACAACAAAGAAACGGAACGGAAGAGTGCAAACATGCGTCGCTGTACCTTGAAACGTCACAGATCACGCTGGACGAACTCTTGAGCGGGATAATCACGGGACGTGTCGCTACTGCGGGAACGTTCAATCTGGCGGAATCGTCGACAAGACGCAGGAATTACGTCGAGGAGCACTGGTTCGCGCTCACGTGAATATGAACATGACTCTCGTCCGAAATACGTTCAAAGGTGAGTACAAATCTTCTTTCATGACCTGTACGCATGCAACCCGAAAGTTTCGGCCGAAACTGTTTCCTTCGTTTCTCGCGGTTCGCGTTCTTCACGACTGCGCACTCGGCGTTACTGTGTTCGTTGATTCATTTGAGGTTACTTATCGCTACGCTACGGATGTTTATGGATTTATCTGTAAAACACAATGAAGCAAAAGAATGATTGATAACATCTTTCACAAAATGTACAACTTAATCGACACCTTAATGGGAAAGGGGAACAGTATCTGTTATTCGATTTACATCTTCAAACATTTACAATGTATACTCTGGTGAAACAGTACGACCAGCACACAACGCATCATTTCAGTGTGTCTCACGCGGAATTCAGTGATCAGTGAACACTGTACTTTGACCGTGCAATCGTGTTTTAAGAACGTAGATCGTAGACGCGCGTTACGATGACGTTTACAGTGGTATTCTATCGGTATCATGCTGTCGACGATAGAATTATTCGTTTCCGTACTTCTCGAAACGCAGCAGGCACCTACACGTGATTTCTGCGTGCGATCTGTCTTTGTAAATATGTAACGCCTCTGGTGTGCGCGGTCGTCCGCTCCGTACACTCGGAAAGCACATTTGTACTTTAACACACGCGGAGAGCTTGTACGCAAGCGCACATACGGTCCTTCAAAATGTACCTATTTTTCGTCGGGACAACGTGTACGATTTAATCGCGTCGCCGTGTGTTCATGTTTTCGTTTCTGCTGCGCGGTCTTCGTGATATTATGCGGTAGCTCGATGCACTCGTTTTCACTTGAATCATTACCCTGATAACGTGACTACAGCTTCAAACATCCGTCATGACTGGACTCTGCGGATTTCAAGCTCTTACAACATATACGAACGTACCTACGTAGCACAATGAAAAAAATAATCGCGAGCAAGTATTACCAAAGTACTTATCACATAGGTGATCTGACACAAATATTTTAGATAGGTGAGGTTAACTTTGTCATCTATTTCGGTTTCTCCGAAATCGTTTGTACCGATAAGAATTTACGTGTCAAAAGAAAGTGCTCTCACATCCTCTTTTTAAAGCTTTGAAGAATCACCTTAGTAGCTTCCTCCACCTGAACCGTCGCAAAGATTCGAATTATTGTATCGTTTACTATTCTAGATTGTTCGTCCTGTTGGATGTAACTATTACATAGGTTCTAATTGCGTAGATAGTTAAGCTGTCCATCGTAAATCGGCAGTTCTAGCTACGATCGACAATGCGTGGACAACTTGACCGCGCCGTCGACGAAACTCGCGGCGTCAGTAAGGCTGACGCGAAGCGGCTGTTAACGTATAACCGTCGAAACGGGACCCTCGTAAACAGTTCGTGGAACGCGTCAAATGCCAAAAATCTTCTCGCGCACGTGCATCCGGGGGGGGGTGAGCCACGAAAATATTTTTCACCCATCGAGATATTCATTTGGGTCTCGTGATCTTGCGTCGATTCACGCGGCGTCACTCTGTTTCATCGCCGAAATATGGCCGCGACATGTCGTCACTGCGTCACCTAACGGTACCCGACGGTTTTTGGTGATTCACGAGTAAGTACGCTCCGTTCCCCTGAACTTTAAACCCTACACGTAACACGCGAGATCTTGAACCGTTTTGAACGCAACGACTGGTCAATCATTTCGTCTTCGTTTCCAACCGTTTTCACGCGGAGAATCGTCCCGACTCGAAAACACGGCAACCTTTTACCCCCACGTGGCGCGAAAACACGACAATGAAACAATGTTTTCGTTCAGACGGCCCCGTTCATTAAACGTTCGGCCACCATTAGCGTAGGACTTGGACGCTTGATCGCTTAAATGAGCCGTTCATTTGTCAAAGTGAGTAACTCCACGAAATATGTATTTAAACTTCATTGTCGATGTAAAAACTTAAGCACCAATTAAGTGTTCTGACTCTGAAGTTTGAGAAAATTCCAAGAATGAAGTTGGTCATTTTGGCCTGTGAACGGTTCAAATGTGACTTTCTTTCAAGCCTAGTCAATCTGGACCTTGATTAAATGGTAGAAAAGTTTAATAACATGTGAATGTTTACTATTACCTGCACTCAATTGCAAAAAATATAACTTTTATTTAAGGACCGATCATTTGAACGGTTCAGTAGAAATAGGTACAGTGACTTATATATTTGTTTATATACTTATAAAGTAACAATTAAATGTAAAAATTTCTGTACAATTTCTGTTTACGTGTCTTCGTTATTTTTACTTTTACCATACTTTAGTGAAAAGTTCTTCTTAGTTTTGAAATGAAATTCGTAATTCGGTACCTTTTTTTTATCAAACGAAGGTAACAGCCTTCCGTGAACAAATTGTGGGTCATTGTTTTTAGTCTTAATCATACACATTATACATACACTGCTTTTCTTGATCATCTATTGAAACGTGTAACACAGAATCAATGGATAGGATTATTAATTTCTCTGCACCAAAGTTCCGTGTTCGTCGAACAGATTCAAATAAAGTATAACCAGCAGGGCCAATCTCACTCGCCAGAAACGTAACTCGAAGCTTCTCGCGAGGCCAAGATCAGCGGCGCGGCGGCGTTCTGTTCTGCGAGTCAATAGTAGGTGTATATCCGATATACAAGAGTGTTACAAGAGGCGGCCGATTATTGTACAAGCTTCGCGACTGAGTCGTACCCCACGCGAAAATATTTACCGATCGGAGGTTCGGAGCAGACAGAAACCGCGTTGATCTATTTCTGGTGATCAGGTGGACGCCATTTCCCCGTGATTCAACTGCGTCGTCAGGCGTCGATGAAAGAACGAACGGATTTTCCACGCGCCGGTTGTGTTCAAATCAATTTTCCCCGAGGCGCGGCGTCACGGATGGATCGAGGTCGTAACTCAACTGCTCGTGTTACTCGTTAATCGGTTTGCTCGTAAATATTTACACGTCGCGGCTGAACAACCGATTACAAACTATTGCCCGAGGATTTAGTCTCGTTTAATGGAGTGAAGTTAACCGAAGGAGTAGGAAAGACGTGGGAAATCCACTTCGGTTATTGTAATTTGAATTGCAATTGACTCGCAGACTCCTCTCGATTATCTTCCCGTACTCGGATCCGGACAAAATTTCAATTTTTATAATAAAATGGTACTTCTTTATAAATGAATCGACATTTGTCATGCAATTATTTAATCTCATTAACTGTTTAAAGCTCAGGACGACACCCTTAGATAATGCTGCTTTTCACTATGTATTATTCGAATAAAATTCTGCCCAACTCGGCGCTGCACACACCGACATCGTGTGCCAAGAGACTCATCGAGCCCCGTGATCCATGAATCGTATATCGATCAGTTTTGCGAAATTCCTCGGTTCTCGAAATAAATCTCGCCGCGGACTGTCGAACGTGTTCTCCTCTTCTCCCTGGCCACGTCGAATTCCCTGGACCGTTTCCGCGAGCTCTCGATCCTTTCATCCGGCCGACACACGTACGTACACCACGGGCAGGGTACATTGTTCCTTGTCGACAGATAAGATTCCCTATATTCCGTGCGGGAGAGATGAATGACGGGCCTTGTATCAACGGGCAGAGCGCATCGTGTGCAATTTTACTTGTCGTCCACCCGCGTATTCGCCCGCCTTTTTCCTCTCTCCTGATCCCCCTCCATCCCCCTTTATCACGCTCGGCACTGCGTGTTATCGGTCTGTGCGGCGTGTTTCGATATTTTTTCAGAGCGAAACGCGGACGAATAACCGGAGTCACACGCGCATATACGAGATTGCGAAAAATGGCCAGTTTCCGGTGCGAGCACGCGCGCGCGCGACCACTTGGAGAACGAGCGCATACACTTTCTGGGAATCGATGTTTCTCTGGTTTTTGGGGGAAATAATTGCTGCATCTTCTGAACATTCTTATAGTGACTAGATTGGAGGTTAAATTGAATTATCGGTATGATTTAAAAGTTCTCGCCCGGGAGGAAATGTCTTTCTTCCGAATAAAATTGGTACCAAAATGGCACCACTATGTTCGTGAAACTTCCTGTGTGTGGGCGGTAAATACATGAATGCATTCTTTTACGACAGAAATTCTTTGTAAAGAACTTGAAGGAGCAGTATATACTGTAAAACACCACTGATGGCATTATCTTACTGACATTTTCTTTATGTGCACAATTCTTAATCGAGTGTGGTTCTTATCAACTAATTTCTTTGATGTGACTTTCATGGTTCGCGGTGTGATTCATTGGAAAAAAAAACATTGTAGATACTTTACTGCTTCGCTCTTACTGTAATTACAGTAAATGTAACATGGATCGATAAAGTTATTTCTTGATTGTGGGAGGCAATATAGGTACGTACATACTTCGTTTCATCGGGATCGTAGTGTCCTTTTCCGTTAATTTCGTTGTGACGAGACCGTGTAGTGTCTTTAAGCGACGCGTGCTTAGATAAATGCACGGCTGCCTGTATTTGCAAAGTTCTCAAACACGACGCACGACAAAAGAGTAATTAACTCTATTCGGCGGCACGAGGTCGGCCCCGTAGCTGTATTTGCTTGGCTGTTTCATTGTAGTTTGTACCCTGACGCGGTTCTCCTGGCGCTTTAAATTAACTTCCATTTGTTTCTCTCGCCCTCTGTCTCTCTACTCTCTACGTAGAATTTTCCGAAGTGAGTAGTTTTTTACTAGCGTCGACCAATTTATTATCCGAGATCGGCCAGGGTTCGTTATTACTTAAATCTCGTTAAAACTTTCATCCGCTCGAGTTTTGCACCCGATTTTTCCGGCGTATTCCTACGTATTTTCCATCGTTACAATCACAAACTCGTAATCAGATTGTGATTTTCCTTTTGTTTTTTAAACGTTAGTACTAGTGTTTATTATAAACCATCGAAGTTTGAATCACAGAAAGATGTATGGTACCGAGTAGATTCTTACAATAAATTTCTATCAAACGGTTATTACGCCATTCGCATGTATCCCGCGCGAATCCATCGATAC